GCCCCCAGCCCCCAGCCCCAGCCCAGCCGCAGCCCCCAGCCTCAGCCTCCAGCCTCCTCGTCAGAGTTGGTTTTGCTTTTGCTGTAGTAGACACCTCCGCACCACATAGTAGTTACACTTTCCCTTAAGTCTGTCATTGCTTGTCTGTCTGTCTGTCTGTCTGTCTTTTGGAATGCAAGTCCCATGAGGAACTGGTTTTGGCTTTGTTCTCTGACTGATTGGCATGCTCCATGAGGTTCTGAGTGGAAGAATGAAGGAATGCCTTAGAAACACAAATGTGCAAGTGTTCATGTTCACACCACTGCACGCATGTGTACAAGCCACATGGCTACATACAAGTTTGTGCTACATGGAAGTACACATGCAAATGAACATTCACACATGCATGAGCACAAAGACACACATGCACAGATGTACACGTGCACACACAGGCACATGTGTGCATGCATATGCATCTACATGCACGGATTTTTCAGTCCCTGTTAGTTATCTTGAGTTGTTGCTTAGAAAGTCACTCTGGTCTTGGTGATATGAAACAAGGCCACCCTGCATGCTCACGAGCCCCGTGGGCTCAGAATGCGTCAGGGCCTCAGCTGAGAGCATCATGTTAAAGGCTCTTCCCTTGCCTATCTAGCAGCTAAACAGGGCTGGCTTGAAGAAGGGATGCTCATCAGGTCCTCCCTCCCTCCCTCCCTCCCTCCCTCCCTCCTTTCCTCTTTTCTTAGGTATTGGAATGCTGTCTCTAGGACCTCTCTCATATGGTGGTCTCTGAGCTTACTCTAAGAATGGCTGCTGCATGAATAAGTCGGGAACCGCATGGCCTCTGTGAGTTACCTGAAATACCACGATGACATTTTGGTCACACTCACAAGTGAGCCTCAGCCCACCTGCACTCAAGGAGAAGAGGACATAGATTTTATCTCTTGATCAGGGGACTGTGGAAGCATTTGCAACCATAATTTAAAACAACCACATGTGCACACCCAGGAATGCTCCCCTCCCCACTGATAGACACACTGAGCACACTGAATGCATATATGTAAACATACACCTCTATTCTGAGAGCAGACATACACAAACACATATGTACATGAATCCTATGTAGAACAATCATATGAGCATGCCCAGACACACACACACACACACACACACACACACACACACACACACACACACACACACACGCAGAGCTGCTGCAGACCATACCCTAGAGGATACACAGATGGTGCCCAAGCCACACATGTTTTCCTTCCCACCCCGGGGTTCCTCCCTGGCTGAGCTGGCCAGGAGGACAGGTGGAGCAGTAGCTAGTGTCTGTTGTACCTCCTCTCCAACCCCTCTCCCTGGCTGGCAGCAGGGGCCTGGCAAGAAAGAAAACAAATAACCTTGCGGAGTTTAAATAAGCAAAGTTTTGTGCAAAGCAGAGGTTAATGTACTTTATTGTTCAATGTCATGTTCCTAGTGGATTGGTGGAGGGAAAAATGTGATTAATTGCCCCGAAGCCCACGGATCTACAATTATTTGGTTGTTGTGAACAAATAAAGGACTTCAGTATCCATCATATTCAAATGAGGCGGCAGAATAAATGATGGCGGGCCGGGGAGGAACAAAACCGAGGCGTGTTCCTCCAGGATGGAAGGGACTGGCTCCTTGTCAACCAGACGCTGGATGGTGGCGGGAGCCGAACCCGAACCCGTCAGTCTCTGTACCGCCAGCGAGGGCCAGGCTGACCCCGCAGGGGCCGCCGTTAATTCATGTCACCCTTGGCACCTCCAGCCTGCGTGGGAGGAAGAGCAGGCGCCAATTCCCTAATAAAGACTTGTTTTGCAACGAGGCCGGATTGGGGCGGGGGCACAGATCTTCATTAGCGCCCCTTTCCTGGGCCACGCTCGTTACAGAGCACAGGTACTGGCTAAATGTGTCCGATCATTCATCATGATTTTGCCCTCCACTTTGTCACAGCGTGGGGATTTAAGGAAGATAGATGGTACGAGATGTTGTCTCCTCCGCAGACGCTTTCTGCTCTGGTAAGTGTGTCCGAGGCAGAATTATTTCGCCACTTTATTATTTCCTAGTGAGTGTTTGTCAGAGCGTCGCCTCTTGGAAGGAGCGAGTTGTTTCCTGTCACTCAGGGATGTCGCAGGAGCTGTGATGCTTGGCTGGGTTCACCAGCCAGCTGGAACCCGGGCTGGGTCCCCAGGCAGGGCTGTGGGGGGTCCTAGGAGGCCGGGCTACAGGGTGAATGTCAAATACAACAGAACTGCCAGCGGCGGGCTTTGGGAAAAGGAGGGGCTGGCGGAGGGTAGACAAACTGGATTGGGTCAGGGGGAGTCCTGGGGATGTTTGTGGGCCTGGTCTGGCTAAAGGCCAGAGTGCCGGGTGGGGAGCTGTTCAAATCAGTGTCCAAAGAGCTGTGTGAGCTTGGCCTTGCACGGAGCCAGCTGGAGAGGGTGTGGGTAAGGCTGAGGCTTCTGGGCCGCGGATAGCCAGAGGGGAGAACAGCTCATCTTGCTGGCACCAGAGGAGCTTTCTGCCCCGGCCCACGGCTGCAGGGCAACGACAGGAAGTTAATGACGAAGGCTGGCAGGCTGGGGAGATGGCTAAGTCGGAAAAGTGTTTGCCATGCAAGCACAAGGCCCTGAGTTCAGATCTTCAGCGCCCATGCAAAAAGCCAGGTAGTCTCAGTAGGGAAGAGGTAGAGATAGGAGCCTCCCCAGGGCCTTGCTGGCCAGGGAAGTCTGGCTGGTAGGTGAGCTCTGAGTTCAGTGAGAGACCTGTCTCAAAGCGACAGTGAAGAGCTATTGAGGAAGGTACCTGATGTCAACCTCTGGCTGTCGTGTGTGCACACGCACTTGTACACACACACCTGTACACGAGAGCTGAGCACAACCAGAAGCCGGAAGCTCGAGTCCTGCACTTAAATCTTGGAAGACTGGAAAGTGACTTCCTTCGCTACTGTTGGGGGACTCTGGCCCCAGGCAGAAGGTGGGACATCTGGGGGTCGATGGCAGCTCTTTTACTTCTCTTCCTCAGCTGTCCCCATCTAACTGGGGGGCCCGTGACCCTCAGCCACACCAGCATCTGGGGCACAAGGCTGTGGGGGTGGGGACTGCCTTTTCTTTGCTCTCCTGCAGGACAGGTTGCTCTGGGCAGTGAGTCCAGAATGAACAGTCCTTGGAGGCCTGGAGGAAACCAGGCAAGCTGAGAGGGAGTGAGGCCAGGGACCTGGGAAGGCATGGCGCTTGCCTTTCCATTTCCAACACGTCAATGCCAGAGTTTGTCCCTGCTACCTGCTCAGTATCCCTTCTTTCTCCTCCTCAAAGCATCTCCAGAGATGGACCAAGCATGTGATTTGAGGGTCAGGGAGGCCTGGGCTCAAACCTTCGCTTGGTATAATGTTTTCGAGCTTTGGTTTCCCCAATTGTTAGAAGGGTACATATTGTAGGTGTTCTTTCAACTCAGGCACTCCATGCCAGACCCCTTTCTCTTGGGTTCCTGTGGGCCTGGCTGGCTCTGTCCAGTCTCTGAAACCTCACTTTCTGGCTGGTAGCTAGACACCTCAGCCACTCCTTGGTGTGGACAGCCCGATAGCAAACCAATTTCCCACAATGCACCTGATTGCCCAGACCTCCAGTTCTCCAAACTGACCTGGCTGACTCGGAACACAAACTTTGCCCATTAGGAGCTCACAAGCTCATGGGGGAGAAGAAGCCATTCCTCACCCAAACACAGGCTACCACCAGGGGCCTCTGAGGTCCTGCTCCAACACTAGAGGTTCGGTGGCTGGTTCTGGGCACCCAACACCGTAGGGTCCCACCACACTCCTTGCAGTCTTACCCCCACTTTGCAGCTGAGACACCTAGACCTCCGCAGATGAAGTAGGGCATAGAAGGTGATACAGCTGTCATTCATGGCTCCTGGATTCTAACCTGGGCACATTTGAGGGCCAAACTTGCTTTCTGGGCTTGGCAGAGTTGCTATTTGGCTCATTGGTGGAGAGCCATGATGGACACTCATCTCTTCCAATCAGGGTTCAGCTCATTTGCCTTTCTTTTTCTTTGCTGGTCACTTGTGGAGGTATCTCAAACTCACAGCTCCCCATCTTCTGGTAACCACTCAGGTAGAACCCCAAACCTGTGATTCCTTGTAGTTTGGTGTTAAGTTCCATTTGCTTTTGCTCTCTGAGTTTGTTCATATGATTTTCTTTTATGCCTTGCCTACCATTAATTCACTCATCCATTCATTAATTCATGTACCCATTTGTTAATTCACTCATTCATCCATTTGCTCACTCATTAATTCACTCACTCATCTATCAGGTCTCTCACTCACTAATTCATCCAGCCATGTATTTGTTTATTTGGTAATCACTAAGGACTCATGTCTTTGGTGGAAGCTTTGCACAGCCAAATCAAACTCAGCATGAGATGAGAGCTGGTAACAGCCCAAAACACCCCAGCCACATAGCCTGAAGACAGAGCATCTGGCTAGGCCATTGCGAGACTGCAGACCTTAGGGTTGTGGACTTCAGTTGGTCAGTAGAGGGGTGGGGCCAGCACTGGTCACCATGCAGAAGCCCACATGTACTGCCGTGGAGTGGGCTGACTCACCACCACCGGCCCTGTGGTTCCAGCTGCTCCCTGCCTCTCCTTTCCTTTCTGTTCTGCACCCAGGGTGACTGTCCCTTGGGCACAGTCTGATGACATCACTTTGCCTCAAACAGTCCAGTGGCTGAGCTAAATAAGCATGGCTCCCTGAGTTCTGATTGCCAAAATCCATGAAGAAAATCAAAGCTAGGCATGGCAGCATGCACTTGTCATGATGCTGGAGAGAAGCAGACAGAAGATTCCTGGGGCTCACTGGCCAGCTAACATAGCCTACTGCGGCGGTTTGAATAAGAGTGGCCCCCACTGGCTCACGTGTTTGAATGCTTTGTCCCCAGGGAGTGGCAACGCTTGAAGGATTAGAAGTGTGGCCTTGTTGGAGGAAGTGTGTCACTGAGAGTGGGCTTTGAGGTTTCAAACGTCCACACCAGACCCAGTGTCTGTCTGTCTGTTTCTACCTGAAGATTGGAACGTAGTTCTCAACTGCTCCTCTGCCTTGCATATTACCATGCTCCCTATCATAATGATCATGGACTAAACCTCTGAAACGATAAGTCCCCAACTAAATGCTTTCTCTTATAGGAGTTTCCTTGACCAGAGTGTTTCTTCACAGCAACAGAACAATGACCAAGACACCTAATTAGTGAGCTCTAGACCAATGAAAGGCCTTGTTTCAAAAAACAGGGTGGTGAGCCAGCAAGATGGCTCAGCAGATAGAGGTGCCCGCTTGCAAGCTTGCTGACCTGAGTTCGATCCCCAGGACCCACACGGTGGAAGGAGAGAACGGACTCCTGCAAGCTGTCCTCTGACCACAAGACACAAGCCATGGCACTTGAGCACCCCCCCACAATAACTAAATAAAGAGATAGATGCAATATTGTTTAAGAAAAGATTTTAATAAGCCAGGATGGACAGTTTCTGAGCAAAGACACATCCAAGGCTGAGCCCTAGCCTAAACACACAGACACAGACACACACACAGACACACACACAGACACAGACACACACACACACACGTGGGTGCTCACTCATGCACACACATGCACACACAGTGTCTTCCTAATACCTGCCCACTTCAAGCCTAAACCTTGAACTTGCCATTCCAGGCCTTTCCTGGCCCAGCACCACCACACTCACCACCATCACTGACACTACAGCATCTGAGCCTGCCATTTAACGCTCTCCCTACCTTCATCTCCTCATCCTTGCAGCAGGGATGGCAGAGGTGGCACTCGCTGTTACAGATGGGCCTTTCTCAGTCTCAATGCTGACCCCATGTTCTCTCCCTGTGGGATAATGGCAGCATTCCCTCCTAAACTCTGCACTTTGGTTACTGCCTGAACTATAAATGCTCACAGCTAGATCATAAAACGCCACACACTTTTGTTCGACTCCTTAAGGGCCCCTCTCTGGAATCCATGACCAAACCCAAAGAAAGCCCATCACAGATGTCCTGTGCAGTCGGTGCCAACCTGCCCACCATGGGAACGCACCATGTTGACAAAGGTCTCCAGGGGATACCCCACGGAGCTGAATGGAACCTGCCAAGGCCTTGAGCATAGTCAATTCTCAGGCCCATCTTCAGATGTGACAGTTGGGAGGCTTGCCACTCAGCCAAAGATAGTTGAGATGCCAGTCCCATAGAGTGAAGAAATGAAGTGAGCCAGTTTGTCATGACAATGGACCACACAGTGGCTTCAACCAGACATTTGTGTCCCAGTATCCTGGAGGCTGCGGGTCTGAGATGAGAGGGTCAGTGTAGACAGTTCCTTCCGAGACCTCTCCCCATGGCTGGGACTATGTCCTTCTCCCAGCTCTCCCACAGTCCCCTTCTGGATGTGTCCTTACCTCCTTTTCATATTAAGACAGTGATATTGGATCAGGCACCACCCCAATGGCCTTATTTTAAAGTCACTCCTACTTTAAAGATACGAGTGCGGTTACAGTCCCATCCTGAGAAATTGGAGTCCAGATGTCCGCACACAAGTTGCAGCAGGGGATAGTTTAGCTGGTAACACAGACAGCTTACGGAACACTGAACAGTCCCTGCTTATGGAAAGTCCTCAGTCAATGTCGGCCAACGTCCCCATGCTCACTGCCACCCCCACTGACCTCATGTTCCCCACTGCAGCTCTGGGGGACTGTCTGAGGCCCCCAGGCCGCCTTTCAGCCTGTGCCTTCTGCCTGAGGTGCCGCTCTTGGTCTCCATTCACCCCAGTCCTTCCCGTCTTGGGAGGCCAGCCCTCCTCCTCCCTGGGCTAAAGGGCTCCGGCCTGTGTCTGCGCCCCTGTCTGCGCCCCTGTCTGCACCCCTGTCTGAGAGCCCTCCAGCCTAATGGGGATGGGAAGATTTGGCACTGTAGCTTTCAATCTCAGTTTTTGTTTTGTTTTACAATATAGACATCGGGTGCATTTTCCTTTCTGGTTATAAAAATGCTGTGTTCTCAGTTTGTAAAACCTGTACAGCACACTTTCTTTTAAAAAGAAAGCCAAAAATCATCTTAAACTAATATACTGAGTTTTGTTTTGTTTTTGAGACAGGTTTCATGTAGCTCAGGCTGGTCTGGATGAACTTGAATCCTGCCCCCACTTTTCAGGTATTGGGATTTCAGGCAGGCAGCTTCACTCCTTGTTTTAGGGGTGCCTGGGATCAAACCCAGGACTTCATGTCCCTTAGGTAGGCAGTTTACCAACTGAGCTATATCCCCAGCCATGGTGGATGAGTTTTAATGTCATAGCTTATGTCTCTCCGGAATCGTTCATAGGTGTGAAATGCAGTATGTGTATGATGCTCTTTCCCTTGATCCCAGGGTAACAGACTGTAGTTCACACCCCAGACTTAACTGCCCAGCTCCAAGTAGAGAGGAACTGTATTAAACATATATGTTCACTTACAGTGTGCATCCTGAAAGCACACGCATTTTAGAAGCAAAAAACTATGACATGGTCGAGGAGGCGGCACAGGAAGTAAAAGCACTTGTTGGGGAATGTGTGCACTGTGTGAAGATGTGTCACTGTGACTGGTGTAATAAAGAGCTGAATGGCCAATGGCTAGGCAGGCGGTGTAGGCGGAACTTCGGGGCAGAGAGAGAGGCAGTAGGAGATAAATCTAGTGCGTGTCAGACGCCAATGAGAGGTGGCGGGAGTCAGACATACAAAGTGAAAGAAAAGTGAAAATCCACAAACAAAACATAGATTAATATAAATGGGTTAATTTAATTTATAAGAGCTAGTGAGACAAGTCTAAGCTAAGGCCAAGCTTTCATGATTAATAAGTCTCTGTGTAGTTATTTGGGAGCTGGCTAGTGAGACAGAAAAAGACTCGTTACAAGCACTGGCTACCTGAACCTGAGCCCCAAGTTCAACCCCAGAACTCATGGGAAAATCCAGATGCTGCAGCAGGCATCTGTAATCCCAGAGCTCCTATGTGGGATAGACAGCAGAGACAACAGAATCAGCTGGAATCGCTAAGGTCAGCCAAGCCTCGAGTACTCGGTACAGCAGCAGAAGTGAGAGACCCTGCCTCAACCGGGTGGGGGCACCAACTTCTAAACACTGCCATCTGACTTCCACACATGTGTGTGCACACCCACACTCACACAGATAGCACCCACAAAAGCAAGGAGGAGAGGAGAGAAGGAAAGAGCAGGCCACATACTACACAATAGAGTCTATGGGTTCTATGCTGGGATGGGGTTGCTTTATTTTAGGACCTGGAATCGTGCTGTGTTGTGCCAGACAATCTTGAGCTCCCATGCTCAAAAGACCTCCTGCTGCAGCCTCCCAAATATCCAAGATGGTAAGCGCCTGTCTCATGAATACTGTCGTTTAACCACGCTTGACCATCATTCCACATCAACAAGTGAATGGTGCTGCTGTGGATTTTAGTGGCTGCGGAGTATTGCATCACACTGAAGCCCCCGCATCCCCTGAGACTTTGCCACCATGCAGTTAGACTGAGCTTCTCTGAGCTCCCAACCCCTGGATGGCCCAGGCCCCCACTCTCTCATCCCCACCGTACCCTCTGCTTCTTGGTTCTTGGCTGGAATTTGGTCTTCATGTGCAGGCTCTCTCTCACCTCAGGGCCTTTGCACAGCCCCTCCACTGCCTTCACCCCACTCCCTGCTCACACACCCTCTCCAGGAAGGCTTCTGTGACTTAGTCCTCCGCAGGTGGGCTCCTCTGATCTTTCTGGGGACACTTAGGCTTACCATTAGGGTAAACCAGGAAATTACCAGTAGTTGACCACTCTGAAATTACACAGTAGGCCATTTCTGATGGTTAACCTAATATAGACCCATCACACCACCCCTTCAGAGTTGAGTGATGACATTTGAGACAGGGACCTGTCAGCAATGCTCACTGTGGCACTATCCCAGCCCTGTACCCAAACTCAGACTGCCTCATCTGTCGATATCAATGAATAAAGAAGCTTCAAGTCAGATTGAACTTGATGTGGTAAGTGCCTTAGCACAGTCTATGCCAGTGTGGGGGAGGGTCACCTGCTTTCCACTTGGCACTAGTCAAGGAGAACAGAGACATGAACAGAGCGGGGGTGGAGGCTGGGTGCACATCACTGGCCACAGTGGCTGGCTCCAGCTGCTGTAATTTCCAACCTAGTTTCTCTAGGACTGTGCCCAGTCTCACTTTGAAGTGGCCAATAGCAGCTGGGCTCCTCTAGATGGAGAGACCCACATGGTGAGATGTCTGGGTGCTGCCTCTCACCAGTCTCTTTCTCTGGCCTGGTGGTCCAGGCTTATAGCTGGTGCACTGTGTACCCATGGCCACATGGTGGCAGTGTTGGCACCGACTGGGCTCTGGGAGGCACAGGAAGCCTCAGCCAGCTCCTGCAAGATGCCTTCAGAGGCCGCTGGGTAGTGTGCATGCTGCGTGCACAAAGGGTACGTGTGCTGGGTGGTATTCGAGGGTGCCCCCGTGTCTGTAATTATAGATGGAGAAGTCTGGAGGGGTCTGTGTACATAGGCACACATGCACGCTCAGCTGTCTGAATGTGGTGTTTGTGCCTCCGTGGGTGTTCTCAACAGTGTGTCTTTGTGTCTTTTTGCATCTGTGTAACTATATGAGATAAGGATGCTCACAGGGGGGAGAGTGTTTGGTGTGCAAAAACATCATGGTGCTGATGTGCACATGTGGGGTAAGTGTGTTTCTGGGAGAGAGGAGCTGCCAGCTTGAGGTTGTGTATATCTGGCTGTTGGTCTACACCAGTACCAGGGACTCCTGGAGCTCTGCCTCCCCCTGCCTGGGACCCTGTCCTCCATAGACAGCTGTTCTGATTCTGACTCTCAGGGCCTCAAACTGGGGCCTCACTGGCTGCAAATGACCTAAGATGCTCTGTCCCCACCCTCCCTGCCCACATCTCTCCCTGCCCCCTCCCCCCGCTTCCAGCCACTGACACCCGCAATAGCAGAGCTTCACCCCCCACAGCTTCACGACGCATAGTACACATAGTGGGGTGACAACCTCCAGTTGGCATGCAACAGGCCTACTCCAGTTCTCCAACCTGCAGAAGAGATTCCATACCCTGTCACTAGGGTCCGGGGTGGTCCCACAGAGCTATCTCAGTGGGTGGCCATGTGCCTTATCCTTACCTGGTGGTGCCTGAGACAGAGCTCTGCCTCCTACCTCAAGGTGGGACTGGCTCTCAGAATCTGTGGCCCAAACCTTGGGAGGATGTGGGGACGCCACCAGCTCCTTCTCCTGGTCCCATCTCTTTCCCTGTGCAGTCAGATCACAGCTCCCTCCCAGCCTGCTCCCTCCCCCTGCCAGGCTAAGGCCAACAGTGGCTCCTCTGGCCACGTCTGGCCACCCTTCCCCCCGTGGTTATTAATAATTGGGTATTAGGCAAGAGGCACTATTGATTGTGGCGCGGGCAGCTCCAGGTCGAGGTAATTTATGGAAACACCGGTGTCCCTGGTGATAAATAATGAGGTGATCGTGAGGATGGGTCACTAGTGAGTGGCCTCCACCCTCTACCCTGTCCACTGACACACTAGCTCATAAATGGAGGAGGGAGCGAGCAACCCAGCAAGTGGACAGACAAAGGACGCTTTGGTGATGTGAGCCTCCAGAAGACAAGGGGAAGCAGAGACATGGCTCCGTGGGTCCAGGTGGCAAAGGGCAGAATGGCAGGCAGGGCATGGGAGGGAAACCGTGGGGACAAGGAGACATGGGGAGAGATGGGGTGGGAGAGGGATGAAAGAAGGCGGGGAGGCTGAGAAGAGAAGCTCTGAGCCGGGCGGGTGGGGACAGCAAGGACAGACAAAGAAAGAGGACTTGAGCAGTGGAGGCCAGCCGCTCCCAGAGAGGACCGTGCACGGGACCATGAATTCGCTTGATCGTCACTCCATCCCCGGGATTGCTGCCAGGACTGTGTGCTCTGGAGACAGACTCTGAATCTCCTGGGCCCTGCTGTGTAACCTTAAACAGGTCACTTCCTCTTGACGAGGGGACCCTCATCTGCCCAGCTGGGAGAGGGAACCATCAATGTCCACGCGCTTGGGACCGAGTGCCAGGCCTCAGGGTGTGCAGGTCAGATCGTAACGGTGGCCCGTGGTGCTGATGGAGTCATACATGTGACTCTGACTCTCCTCAGTGGACGGAATGCCCAGTCAGTCACAAACAAAGCCAGGGCAATAGACAGGCAGCAGGCTGGGTGGCTTCAGGAGGCTCCCACGGAGGGAGCTGTGATTTGAGCCCGGACTTCAGCAGGTGGGAGGGGCATTCCTAGGGATGGAAACATGATGCCATGATGATGTTTTCAAGGCAGAAGGAAGGCCACCTGGGACCTCCCCTCCCACTCAGACACAGAGCCACAGCTTTAACTTGGTTACCTCTAAGGCTAAAGAACTCACTGCCGCTCTTGAGGAAACCTAATTCTGAGAATGTCCTTCCTCACAGTTACCCTTCAGCCTCTCCCTCCTTTGCCCACTCCCACCCCCGCATTCTGATCATCAGGTAGCCACGTGTGGCTGCTGTAGACAATGCTTCTGCTATGGCTGGTCATCCTGTCTTAGGCAGAGGAAAGAATGGGGACTGTTTCTTTCTTCCAAACCACAGTGCTCACTTTTGGCAACCCAGAGCCTGGGACTTCTTAGACAGGTGCCAGATGCTGCCTCTCTTCCCATGCCGGCCATCTTCTCTGGGTAGAAAAGAAAAGTCTGTAGGCTGACCTGAGGAGGACACCCATTCTGTGTCCCCTGGGCAGTGTCATGACCCTGCTGCCTACTGATGAGGTGACTGTGCACAGGGTCCCAGTGTCCTCTAGGATCCCAGAGTCGTGTGCAAGGTGTCTAGAACCGGAGGAAACTGCATATGGTTCTACTCCCAGGACCCCTCCCCCACTGCCCTGTCCTACACTCCCTGGGGAGCCTAGCTTTCTCCTTCGTGTCTGGGACTCATGCTTAAGAGCCCACAGTGATCTTGACATGGCTCTGTGCCCTGGTTCTGAGCCACACTGCTCAGCATCCCACTCACGCCCAACCCTATCCTGACCCTGTGGGATTCTCCCACACTCACACCAGGGAGTAAGTAAGCGCTCAGGGCCATCATGTCGGTACCGCCCGGCGTCCATGCATCTCTCGTGTCCCTTTTGGGTGGAGATTTGCTTCCAGTGACTTCTCATCCCCTCTCAGCTTTGCATCTTGACCTTCACCCTGGAGGTCAAGGCTCAGTCCCATCTGTTAGAGGCTCTTCTTGGCAACTGCTCTCCTAGGATTATGGCTTCCTATTAGGGGCTTCTAGACCATTCCTTGCTGTCCCATTCTAGAATCTTCATCGAGCTATTAAACTCAACCAGTTCTACTACCATTCCTGAACTCAGCAGTTAATTAACATTTTGCTTTGTCTCCCATTTTATAGCTACCCAAGGGGGTGGAGCTGAGAGGATGATGTCCTGGCCACATACCCTGGGTACCATCTTATAAAGGATGAGCCCAGGCAATTGTTAGAAAGCACTGAATCTCTTACTCACGGGACTGGGGCTATCCTGTAGGGAGCGGATGGGCTCAGAGGCCTTTGACCCTCTACCTGTGTGGCTCGGAGGAGCACTTGAGAGCAGTATGAGACAGACACCAGCTTGATTCGTTAAGGACAAGTGAGGAAGGTCTACACACCCTGCAGGGAGGTGGGTAAGTGGATGAATCTACGCAGCTGGAGGCCCTGCCCCCATGGACTCAGGGCAGCCATCAGGGCTGGAAACAGTCTGTGGGGTCAGCAGGGCAGGCCCCTGAAAGGAAGCTGTTCAGGGTGCTGGAGAAGATGCCCTCCTGGGTATTTGTTGCATCCAAGTGCCCAGCCCAGAGCCACCAGGCTTGGCAGAGTCTGACACCAGCAGACACAGGGAGGAGATGAGCTGGGGCCGAGGAGGATGAGGGCTGGAAGGTGCGAGGAGGTAAACTGAGGCCATATGCAAAGGCTGGAGACTTGTGGAGCTGGGAGGAGGGACATCCATCAGAGCCTCCAGGTGAGCCAAAGAGACCTGTCAGCAGGCTGTGGCTGGGGAAGGGGAAGCGTGGACGTAGATATCAATTAGGGGATCTGTGTGTGCCTTCCTCTCCAAATATTCCCCTAATGCTACAAAGGCTGAGATTGCCTGCTTCTGACAAGGGCAGGCAGGGGTAAGCCACACCCCGGTGATCTGCCATTGAGCTAAACACCGCTCTCCCACAGATCTTTTAGACGCTCCCCTGGCCTGTACTCGTGAGCCAAAGTGGGGCTCCCGAGGGTCCCCCAGAGCCCTTTCTGGTTCCCCATAAATCAGAGTCATCCCAGGGACTTGCCCCCTTGTCTTCCCAAGGCCGCCTGGCTGATGGCAGAGGCAGGGAGGCTTCGCAGCAGGTGTACGGGACTCTGCTCTGGGTCCTGCAGCCCAGCTTGGTGGTCCCTGGCACACAGGGGATTCACTCCTTCTCCTCAGTTTGCTGGGCCTCCCTTCCTCGAAGCCTGTGCAGCCAGCTCCCCAGCCCCCCCCCAAGTCTCCCAGGCCCCCCGCCCCAGCCCTCTGCTGTGTCCCTGTAGCAGCTGCTCCCCAGAACACCTGTCTGTCCCTCTCCTGCAGAGGAGCTGTGGCCCGCTGTGTCCTATGCAGGGTCTGGCTCCAAGGAGGCCCTTGGTCACTGGTCACCCCGGTCACCTCGGTCACCCCGGTCACCCCAGTCACCCCGGTCACCCTGGGCTGAATGCTGAAAGAACAAACAGGATGCCTAAGGCCCTCCAGGCCAGGTTGGACTTGGGGGAAGTGGCTGAGCTGCTGCTGCTGCTCGTGGGTCCCAACGCCCCTCCCAGGCCCTCAGCACCGCTCCCCCCCCCCCAACGGCTTTGTTCCCGACCTCAAACCACAGGGAGAATAAAGTTTGTGAAATATTAGTTTAATAAGACATGCGACTACTATTAAGGATCCAAGGGTTCTTATTTATTATTCATGGGGCCGTGTGATTTAGGGGCGAGTGGGTCCGCAGAGGCTCTGCCTGGCCGCCTCTCCCGCAGCCAGCCCTCCCCGCTGCACCCGGTTTCCATCATCTTCTCCTCCTACACTTGCTCACACTGCAGTGCTCACAGGGACCCCCCCCCCACCTCACCAGGTGGAGTGGAGGACAAGGTGGTCACAGCTCTTCCCTGGCTGCCTGCCCTGGGCCCTGATCTGCGGGAGTCTCTGAAAGGAGAAGGTCGTGGCTGCCCAAGTCCTGCCTGCGGAGGAGATCCTCAGCGTTGTAGCAGGCCGAGGGTCCCTTTTCTGTCTCCTCTTTAGGGTCCTGGGACCTCTCAGAGTTAGGTAGGCGAGGCAGGCCTAGAGCAGACTGGGAGAGTGAGGAGGGACTAGGTTATACCTGCGCTAAGTTGCTGTGTGACCTTGACAGGTGTCTTGCCTTCTCTGTCTCAGGCTCCCTCTAAAATCAGAGCCCGGTGGATCATCTAAAAGTTTCTCAGCAGGAAGGAAATGGGCAGGTGTCTTGTGTGTCGTGTACAATATCTTCCTAGATGCACAAAATCCGTCATGGCATCTCAGTGCCGCCAAATTTCCTCTTCTGTGATGTCATAGTCTGCTTCTTCTCTTCCCCCAAACGCAGAGGCTCTGTCCTGGCTTCTTTGGTCATACATTAGAGTTGCTCGCTCTTGAACTTTATGGTAGTAAAGTCACGTGACCTTACAAAACATGTGATTGTCAACAGTTTCCTCCTTTTTCATTGTTGAGCAATACTCCACAAGTGTGATTGGCAAGCTGTGAATCTATCCACCACCCGTGATCACGCAGGCTTCCGGTGTTTGGTGCTCACAAACGATAGCTTCCGGGAGTGTCTACAGCCTCTTGGATTCTATTTCCCTTGGGTAAATATTTATGCATGAACTTGCTAAGTCAAAGGGTAAGTACTTTTTGTTGTTTAATGTTTGATTTTTATATTTCTCTGCATTACTAAGGTTCCAGTCCACAACCCTGACTATCACTCTACCATGGAGCTACCCACTGGTACCCATGCTTGTTATTTTTAAAGTGTCCTTTTTATTTTTATTTGTGTGTATGTTTGTCTACATGTTTATGCCTCATGTGTGCGGTTCCCTAAGAAACCCAGAAAAGGGCATCTGATCCCCAGGAGCCGGAGTTAAAGGCGGGTGACCCGGCATGGATGCTGGGAAATGAACTGTTCTGTGGAAGAGCAACATGCACTCCTTACCGATGACCCACCTTCGGCCCCTGTGCTGGACTCCCCAGCCCTTGTAAGTTGCAAGGGCTGCGGAGGTGGCCTAGTGGTTAAGAACACTGACCGCTCTTGCAGAGGACCCAGGTTCAGTTCCTAGCTCCCATGTGGTGGTTCACAATCATCTGTAACTCCAGTTCCAGAGGATCTGGTGCCCTCTTCTGACCTCTATGAGCATCTGCAGTCATGTACATTTAACCACATACAGGCATACACAATTTTAAAACAATAAAAATAAATCTCTACATATATATGTATACGTATGTATGTATATGTGTGTATGTATTGAAACATTACACAAATCATTGTATTTACAGTCTCATCAGCAAAGCTTAGAGCTCTGTGAATGCTCCACATCCTTGCCAACACTTGATAATGTTGGACTTTTTTAATTTTATCCATTCTGTTGGGTGCATTGGTACTTCGTGTGATTTTAATTTGTGGTTTGCTAAAGCTACTGGTCACTCTTGTGATTTGA